GCTGGCGAAACGTTAGGAAACAGAACTTCAAGAACACGGCCACACAGCCCGGAAGACCCACGCCAGCCATAGAACGAGTTTTCCCACGATGGCTTCTGACACAAAGGATGTAGCTGATCTTCACTTCACTAGAGACGATAAAAGCCTTAATCTTGAAAAGGAGTAGAATCTATAGCCATTTTCAATTTTTTTCCGAAGTTCAGATTATTGTGTCAGTTGAACATTTTCATACTTCTGCTTCCTACCAATAGCATTTACGCATGCGCTTAACCGCTTGTTTTCTCCTCCCTCCTCCAGGAGAATGGGTCTATCTCTATTCGTGCGCATGCGCCTACTATTCTCACCTCCCCCCCCCGGCGAATGGGTCTTTTTGAAAGGAAGGGGAAAGGTGTGCTGTGACCTTGAACAGACGCCAGAGGGCGCCACTTCGCCCAATCACCTTCTGTGGGCGGATCTGCTGTCTAAATCTTGCACAGCGCCAAAAAGAAGGGACAGTTTTGCATACGTTTTGCATATCCCCAGGTATGTGTATAGATGCCAAATTAGAAATAATCCCGGTAACCCAGTGTGCCTTTATCATAGGAGGAAAGGGTGTGATCAGGTGATATGTGTGCCTGCTCAGTTTTATAGTCCAGGTACTTTTAAAAAAATCCATAACTTGAAATAACATATGTCCATAGTAAATAGTGTAGGGTATCCTCCAATTACAGCATATGCTGAACGCTAATATCCTCCATCTTGCTGTTTGGATGGGGAGCTCTTCAGCAAGAGGGCACCTTCGAACTGAGCTTATTCTCGTGCAAAGTATTGTATATGGGCACTTTACTTGGCACTTTTAGAACAGAATAATAACTTTATTGTCATTCCACTATACACTATACACCAAGTGCATAATAAAATGAAATTCCATTGCAGTTGGCTCACAACTACAATCATACACTAAAATACAATTGAGATACCATAGTTACTATAAAATATACATTCTACACACATTTGACTTTAAACATTCAAACATCTAATTTTGCAAACATTTTATCTTTACAGCAAATATTTATTCAGTAATGAAATTATTGGTCAAAATTAAAGGCCAATCACTTTGAGGAGCCTAGTATAAAACTGTAGTATGGTTTCCTCTCACACACATATTGTACTGTAATCCTATTTACTATTTTATGAGTCATTAAATATATCTATTTTAATTACAATTCTCCCTGAGCCAGACTGTAAAAGATGTCTGATGGAGTGTTCATTAGCTTCTTTTAGTTCCCATTATTTGAGCCCTATATTTTTTTGACCACCTGATTTTTTTTATACTTAACCAGACCTGGCAGTATGATGGGGTTCTGTGTGCTGTGCAATTTTTGAAAACATCTCATACAGGCTGATGTTGCGTATTGCTCCTAACCTGTTCAGCTGAAGATTTAGCAGCTGCATTTGGACATCAGCAACACTTGGTTAGCGTTAATCAAGAGCATGTTGTTTGAACCCAGTCAGCCCAGTTAGCTAGCGATTCAGTGCATTCTGCAACATCAGAAAAGTTGGTAGCTAGATTAAGCACATTTGGGCAAAGGCAGCCACAGTGATTTTCTGCAGTGATTCAGAAAAGTGAAGCCCAGACTCCTCTCCCAAGCAAAAGTTCCCATTGCTTTTTCTATTACAACAATCACGTTGAGCAGTTGGATCTCTGGCCACTGTCGCCCCTCATGCTCTCAGGTGTGACCTTGTCGCAGATAGTCCCTGCAATAAGGTACTCTAATAATAGTTACAATAGTTACAAGCAACAACAGATCCTGCAATTAACCCAATTCCAAATCCATCTCCCATTTATATTCTGGAAAGATTATGGACAAGTAACATGATTCACACATAGGAGTTATTCACCCATGTATTTTCCAATTTATACTACGAGGCCCTTCAACAAGCCAGATAGGACAACCTCCAGGCAAAAGACATTTATGGAAGCAATGCTGGCAACCAAAAATATAATATTCTAAAAACCAGAGAGGAAGGTTTCAGCCCCCCTAGGATACTTTGCCAGTCACGTTAAAGAAGCTGACCTTAGTTTAGTCTGCCTTTGAAGCTGCCTTTAGTCAGCTTCAAAGGCAGACTTAACTAAAAAACTGTCAAAATTTTAAAAGTTCAGTTCTATCTTTGGAGGCTTGAAGTGGAGAAAGGGTTCTTTTCACTCTGTATGATTTCATTAGCTTACTGAATGCTAGATGTTCTGGGTTGTCAGCAACAACTCTTTTCTAAATGGCTGTTGTCAAGAATGGGATGGTGACTGTCCTGTACTTTGTGAATTTCATTTCCTTCTGATTTCACAGATATTTGCAAAAACCACAAAGTAGGGGCAAGGACAAGGGCCAATAATACAAACAATAGCAAATAGAGTGATTTAAAGAAAGCTCTAAATCCAAAAGAAAAAGGGGAAGATGTGATACATGACAGAAGGGGAGAAACAGAAAAGGAAGATATCTGAGGCCACAGAGTAGGAAGAGACCAGCAATATTCTTGTCAGAGGAGGAGGAAATAAAGTAGATGAATTACAACTGGAGGGCAAACCCAAATGAAAGAGCTTATTACAGTCTACTCTAAAATGAATAAAGTAGCAGAGAAGCATTCATTTGGCATTGCATTTGTGTTTCAGTGCTACCCAGTGCAATTTCTTGTACTGATTTGTGTCTGTTTTTTCCAGGTTGGCCACTAATTTTTTTTATCAGGGGTCTCCATGAGACCCAGTCTGACTTGTTTGGGGATCAAATCATCTTCAGCTGCAGAGTCTTTGAAACTAAAACAATTACTTGTCTGCTTAATATTTGTTCTTTGGGGGTCATAATCTCAAGCAGGAAAGGGTCTGAGAATTCATCTGTATTCCCATGCAAGAGGCAAGAAACCTGATCACCTGGAAAGAAATGGTCTTAAGTTCACCCTTCCTTAGACCAAAGGCTGCAGTACAAAATGCTCTAAATAAAAGCTGTCCCCCAAACCTTTTGTTTTTGGGTGGTGGGGTTTTGGTTTTGTTTCTCTGATTGTTTGTTTTGTGAGGAGGAGTCCATAGGGCCACCAAATTTTAGTGAGGAAATTGCAAAAAAGGAGGGTGAGCTTCCCCACCATTTTTTAGATGGGCAACCCTATTGTCTGAGTCCGAAAATAGACTTTAATACATTTTTTAAAGTAATATCCCCCAAATACCATTCCCTCCAAAAATAAATAAAGGAAACCTCCCCTATGATGATTAATCAATTCTGCATCATAGCCTCACTTCCTTCAGATAACTGGCCCAGGTAATATGGGCCCCTGCCCTCTCCCCACAATTAAATATTGGCCCTAGCCTTGAAAAGATTAGTCCCTTTTAGAAGATCTTCCTCCCTGCTCTTGGAAGCCATTCCTCAGGAAATATCATTTAAAAAGGGCAAAGAGAGGAAGAATAATTCTGCTGGGGTCATTGTCATATCTGGACAAGGTTACAGTTTTAAATGGAGTGTGAGATTAGATTGCAGACATACGATGTGTTCCATATTAGGTGTACAAGAAGTCATCTTAAGGTTGCACTAAAGATTTCCCCATGATTTCCTTGTAATTAGAATTAAGCAAAAAAAAAAAAAAGTTGGCCCCCATTTTTTGGAAATATAAAAACTTTGGGTAAAGTCAAACCTGTTTTTGGTGATCAGAGTTACCAGAGCAAAATGATCAAGGGTGAAGAAAACAGGAAAGAAGAAAGGAAAGATGTAAAAAATCGCAATATGGAGAGAAGAGGAAGATACTGATGCCAGGGAGGAATGAGATGAGTTGTAACTAGTGAAAGACCAATAGGATCACTGTGGAAAAAGAGGAGAAAGAACAGCGAGGCAAGGATGCTAGAGATACTGGATGGAGTAGCAGTTATGATGTTGGACTTACACCAAGTTCAAATCAACCATCTTCCAGAGAAGCTCATTGGGTGACATTGGGCCAATCACTCTCTCTGAGCCCAGCATACCTCACAGGGTTATTGTTGTGGAAAAAATAGGTGGAGGGAGCACTATGTATGCTGCCTTGAGTTCCTGAATGGAAGGTGGGATATAAACCTAAAAAATAAATACAGAAAAGGTTAAAAGTTTTGGGCTGGGTATGCAAGGCACAAGAAGCCACAAACTAGACAACCAGATGTTAGCCTAATGTGTTTATTTTATATATTTGTTAAGATTTATTTCCTGACTTTCCTTTAAGAGCTAAAGGTAGCTTACCTGGGAACTCCCTTCATTTTACTCTAACAACAACCCTGTGAAGTAGTTTGGGCTGCAAAAGTGACTGGCCCCAAGTCACCCTGTGAGTTTCCATGCTGAGGGTAGACTTGAATCTGGGTCTCCTTTCTTCTAGCCCAGCACCTTTGCCATTAAACTGTGAACCTATCCAGTGTGGCTAGATTATAGTTCAGTGCATTTTGCAAACCCAGAAAATGTAGTTAATTTGGTGAACGATTGCTACTCATTAACTACAGATAAAAATGTTGAGCAAATATCACACATGAAAATCCAAAACAAGGAAAGGAGGAAATGCAGCAGTGCAAGCAGTAATGGCTGCCTCTGTATGCCCATGTAACACCCCTTCATAAGCTGCACTGGTTGCCAGTTTGCTTCCAGATGTGATTCAAGGTGCTGTTTGTTACCTACAGTATAAAGCCCTACATGGCACAGGGC